CCTTGTCTTTTGTGAGCGACATAACTTCTTTCTCCGCCTGCTCCGATTCGGACCTGGTGGCAGCGGATTGCTTCTCCATCTCCCGTTTCAGTGCCTCCGCTTCTCTCGAAGCTTGCTCTAAATCTTCCTGCAACTTGGCCTTGTCTTTTGTGAGCAACATAACTTCTTTCGCAGTCTGCTCCGATTCGGACTTGATGGCAGCCAGTTGCGCCTCCAAGTTACTTATGTCCATACGAGCCTGACCGTCGGCAATTAGTAACTGCGAAATCCTGTCTTCGAACGCCCGTTTTTCCTTGTCCCATTTCTCCAAGTCAAACTCCTGAACCATTCTCGGCACCATTCCCAAGGAGCCTTTCTGTTCAACCACTGACGTATCTGCGCGACCGCCCTCACCTAACACCGGGGCCGCGGAGCCTTCTTCGGAAACGACCTCAGGGGCACCGCGGTCAAGAAAACCAGGAACGTTTCCCACCGTCGGCACCGACGAATCGGCCGGTGCTTGGGCGGACTTGAACACCTCGTCATCCAGGTCGTCTGGACTCACAGCGACATCCCCACTCCCAGTCTCTCCTTCCCCGGATTGAGCCTTGGCTTCGACGTCCTCACTTTCCGACCCATCGGCTTCTGGTGCAGCGGCTTCTGGTGCAGCGGCTTCTGGTGCAGCGGCTTCTGGTGCCGCGGCTTCTGGCACAGGTGCTTCTGGTACAGTTTCACGAATGGGAAGAAAGTCTTCCTCCTGCGTTGGGTCAGTGCGGGTTGCTGATTGAGTTGGAGTTGAAGAGTCAGCGGAAGAGTCACTAGACGGACCGTGAACCGGGAGGGTGAACGTTCCATCCAGTACCGCCTGAGTGATGTCCTGGACAAGTTGCAGCCCGTCTGCCGCGTGGTTGTCTTCAAGAGGCGTTTGCACGTCAGGTGGCGCAGCCTCATCGAGGCCAGACGCGGAAGCCTTCTGGAGCACCGGTGTAGCCCTGTGACCAGGTTTCCTGCCTACAGAAAGTGGACGTTAGAACCTGTGTGCATCTCGGAAAGATGAGTTCCGAGTTCTTGATGGCGGTGTAAGTGTGCGCAAACATACTTTTGTGTTTCGCCATTACAAAAAAGGGTATTATTCAAATACCGTCCGGAATCACGGCCATTCAAATACCGTCATTGTTTTAGAGCCGTCCTTTGAATCCAGGCACCCCAGCGACGTATCCATGGGTTTACTACTACCATAGCGGGTCTGTTACGGCGCGGGCAATATGACGTCGCGGGCAATATGACGGCGCGGGCAATATGACCTCAAAGTCAGAGCGCTATCAGTTCGTCCGAGGGCGGAACGCTTGTGCATTTATACCATAAGATGTACGGTGTTTTGGCGCGATTTACATAGTCATAAAGTAGTTTGTTATTGGAGGTTGTCTTGGTACTATCGGTTGTCTTGGTACTATCGGTCGACTTACGAACACTTGATTTTAAGTCTGGTATAACTGGCTTGACAGTAATGTCATCCATAACGTAGACGGACTCGTCGTGTGCTACCACGGTGTAGTAGTGTCCTGAGTCTGTTTCATTACCTTGGTGCACCACGGTGGCCACTAGCTCGTATGATAGGAAAATGCCGGAAACTTTATGTGTAAAAGTAGTAGGTATTACCCGTCGGTTTCCAACCTTCATATGACGGCCATTGACCCAATGAGAGGAACTCAACACTATTATAAGATAGGCTGGAGGTGAAATGACATTGCTGACCTTAATGGTGTCCGTCTGTGTCTTACAACACTCGCAAAAATAATCCGTCAAGATCTCTTCACCATAAAATAAACCTTCTGTGACATCATGTTGACCTCCAGAACCCTCATTACACGGCCTACTGACTAAGTCAATAAACGTTTCATTCATTTGACTTTTATAACCACATGACGTGCATGTCATGGAGTGCTGTTGGCTACCCGCAAATGTATTCCTTATCAACGGACTTTCACATCCTCCTAGTGAATCAAATAAATACTGAAGAAATTCCAAACTATCATGCTGTACACCACGACGAAATCGTTGTTGGTCTATGCACTTGTAGAACCGTCCTGGGTCAATTCCTTGGGATGGTCGTCCCAATGGTGGCGAATTAGAAATTTCCGCAAATAACAATTTCAAATTCATCAATATGTCGTCATCAATTCCTCCGTCATCAATTCCTCCGTCATCAATTCCTCCGTCATCAACTCCTCCTCTTCGGGATACAGTGGGTGAATAACTCATTGTTGTTGTACCACTTATTGTAGTGGAACAACCCACCGTTGGGGCCCGATCAATTGATGAGGAATGCCTGCGATCGGTCCTGGTATATCTCTGCAAATTGATAACAAACAAGTCGATAATATTTAACGCCTGTATTACAGAATTCATGTAGCAAGTGTTGCCCAAATTCTTCAAACCGCAAAGGCGTCTTCTGTTATATGGAAGACTATTTTCCGACCAGGGTATGATTAATTTTTGGATACTTTTGCGTACTCCCAATAAGATCTTATCATCCTCTAATCCATCTGGTAACGCAACCCCGGGCTCCACTCCAGCACCACATTTTTTCGATGACGTTCCTTTGTCAATTGGCGTCTTATCAGTGGCCGTCTTCTTGTCAATCGATGTCATGCGAAACACATTATTCAATCCCGCAGCAGGCGGATCCAATCCCGCAGCAGGCGGATCCAATCCCGCAGCAGGCGGATCCAATCCCGCAGCAGGCGGATCCAATCCCGCAGCAGGCGGATCCAATCCCGCAGCAGGCGGATCCCAATGTAAACCTTCCGAGTGGTTAGGTACACTGGGCTCGGCAAGACTCAGACGTCGTTGGGGGTCATCATGCCGACAACCAGAAGTTAACCGGGCTATCAAACTATTTTGCTGATCAAGCAGACGTCGTTGATAATCCACAATATATCTCAACTCCTTACAACACTCCTGTTCAAAACCAGTAACCGCCATACGTCGTGTTCGTAACACACCTTCTGGAAGGACAAAACCATAATGGTTTGACAATATATCCATCACTTCCAAACCAACCAATTCAGACACTGTAATGATTCGATATCAGAAAATCAATACCACGTGTTCGGCCGGGATATTGTCAGTCGTTTTCGCATAGTGATTCTTACAACCGAATTTGAGAACTTCACTTAACGTGACGTAAGCGGCTGACTTTAAGGAAGCACATTTCGTTCTCGCAAATAAGACAACAAAGATGTCATACACTAGCCTAGTCACATCCCTCAGGTTGGGAATCATTGTAGTTGCAGCACTGCAGAGAATGATAGCCTGGAACAACAAAACAGGTCAGGACAAATAGGTCAAGACAAATAGGTCAAGACAAATAGGTCAAGACAAATAGGTCAGGACAAATAGGTCAAGACAAATAGGTCAGGACGAAAACAGCCGTGGGGAAGGGAACTGAAGAAGCAGTCGTACCTGAATGGTTCTTGATAAGTATCGACACCAGGAGACGTAGTTCTGATGGAGAGATGGGTGTGAAAAAGCAACTAGAACTTTGATGTCATCAAGAGTTCCTGCCTTCGCACTAGTGCTGACATCCGCCACGTTCATTAGCCTGTGTAACTCCAGGAGTCTTTTAGCCCGCTCGAATAATGACCTGTCCTCATGACTGACCTGAACAGCATGGAATTCATTGCGGTAGTCAAAATCGCTGTAGAGATTTTCCTGTACTTCAATCAACTCTTTCTCTATTCGTTGCCTGCAAGCGGGCGGTCCTTGCAGTTGTCGGCGTAAGGCGGTTACCCAAGCAGTGAACAGTTCCTCCTTAGGAAACCAATTAGAGCTTAAAGCCGCCCAACATTCGGAAGATCCTTCGGAACCATACCAGTCAATAAGCTTGGTAACTATTCTGCCAAACCAAGATTAACAATGCCTGTCGTTACCCTAACAGTGCACCACTATGCTTCTACCACCACTATGTTTCTACCACCACTATGTTTCTACCACGCACGCACATCAGTTTCCTACTCCGTTTTTTCGATCAATTTATTAAAGTACTTCTTCCACGAGTCAATTACAAGTCGCCGAATTTCTTCAACTGGAACGTCCCCTAAAATAATACGTTAGTTCAGCGTAATTAATTATGCACCTATTTCGTGTGCTATGTGATCTAACCGCGATTGTCAATCAAATTCAACAGCATTCTGAACAAGGGCTCTAGTGGCGTAGCGCTCCATCTAAATTGGTGTTAGCAATATGTCCAGTGGTAGGGGGGGAAGGGGCGGGTAAGGGGGGGGGGGGGGTGGTGTGTGTGTATGAATACGAACGCGATTATGGCAAATAAATGATTGATATGGATTTTAATGATCTTAAATCTCTCATTGGAATAATTAAGAACCAAATACTCAGTAAGATTAATAACATAGTCAATAAGTTCAGGATATTCTATGGCTACATATCTGAGAATTTCCAAGTATCTCGACCATTCAGAATCGGAGACGAGTCCTGGTATGCTTAGCTCGCAAATCTTTAGTTCACACTTGATACATTCAGTTGACCGTGTCTTAGTTAATAAGCCACCAGATGCGCGTTCTCCATCATGGCAGCAAATAAAATTCAATTGGGACGACCCATCATTTCGTAGAGGGATCTCCTTAACGAGTATAGGCTCGTAAAAGTGTATTGCAGTAGTTGATTTTCCTTCAGCATACAAACTCTCCGGGCGCCTCATTGAAGTGGGACCCTGATCCAAGACGCTTAAAAAATCAACGTCAATTGATCTGTAACTTGCAACTCCTGAATGAGTACTTGGAACCCCTGAGTGAGTCGCAATTCCTGAGATGTTACCCGGCACCCTGTCAACTCCTGATCGAGCACCTTCTAACTGGCGCACGCCAAGTCCGTCAACTGCCAAATGACTCCCATGGTCGGCCATCGAATGTCCGGTCATCCAGTGTCCAGTCATGCGGTGTCCAGTCATCGAGTGCCCGGTCAGTGAGTGTCCAGCTATCGAGTGACCGGCCATCGAGTGATCGGCCATCGAGTGATCGGCCATCGAGTGACCAGCTATCGAAGAATTAGCTGAAACTCTACGTCTTGAAACCGCATCTGAGAACGGGTTAATACGTGTTGGTTTCCTTCCCGAATTTTCTTTAAGTACCGCGGTGTCACTGACGGTTTGCTTGCTACGGTGCGTATGACCGTGGATTTCACTCGCCGTCTCGCTATTCGTCTGTCTTTCCTCTACAGCCGTTAGGTGGTTAAAGTCGTTGATGCGTTGTGTGGCAAGTTGCAGCCGCCTCGGCGACGTCTCTTTGGAAGCAACGTAGATGGAGTGGGGGGAAACAACGTGCGGGGAAAGTGTGCTGTGTGACGGTATGGTGTCGTCGTCATCGGTGGACGGGAATCGCGGAATAGACATTGTGTGTGTGACACACACCCTTTTTTGTCGAAGAAATATTTTGAGATCAACGATGGCGTGTTGTGGGGGCAAGAAGACTAAGAACGATCATTTCTCCACATTCTCTGATGCCGCATATAATGGCAACATTGATAAAATGAGAGAGTGCCTGAAGAAGGAGGCGAAAAGCAAGAAGAACAAAATGGAGGATGTCATTAACGAAAAGCACGGGGTATGATCCACACTGTGGAGTGATTACACCCATGTCTTTGGAGCGCACCCTGACCACGGGTACGCACGCAACCGCAGGACTGTATACACGAATGGGCTGTTCTACGGGTTATTCTGCTTTGTAGGATTTCAATATGACAGCTCTGCACTTCGCGGTGCAAAAAAAAGGTAATATCGAGGCCGTGAAGTTCTTGATTCAAAATCAGGCGAACGTTAAAGCTCAAACGAAGAACGGAGAAACTCCACTACATATAGCATGCTATCACAGAAATGAGGAGGCAGTCAAGGAGTTGTTAACAACTGAGGCACGGCAAGACGTGAATACGGCGGAGAAGTTGAGTGGCATGACGCCTTTACATATAGCTGTTTGCAAGGGCTCTCCCGGGGTTATTGATTTACTTCTTCAAAATGGAGCTGATCCCAAAATCAAGGATAAAAACGGTCACGACTGTTTCGATTCTGCAGATTTCTGGGCCAATCAGGACACAGTGGCCGCTTCTCCTAATGCGAACCACTCACAAGCGTATGACGTTTTGAAGAACGCGATGCGGGCTTGAATTTTTCATGTCGCCTAAAGTGTTTGCTCGTGTTTGCTCGTGTTTGCTCGTGTTTGCTCCCGGGCGTGATTGCTCACAAGCGTCATGGAGCTCGTCATCCGCCTCCTCAATCCGCCAAGCTGAGTTTTTCTGTTATTAAACATGCGTCGCATGAACCACAGGTCTTTTCATATAGACATCGGCAGTCGTTACATAGAGGCTTGCTAACTTGTTCGCTTCCGCATACTCTGCACATGACATGCTTGTGGAATAACAACAATGCTACCAATGCCGTGGGTATCGCAACACACCATTGTAAGGTTAAGCTCAACCAATGAATCCGATACCGTGAAAACTTATCAATGGCCATGTCCGTTAACATCCAATCCAACCCCCAATATAAACTCACCCCAATGGCCTGAATACCTTTATACAAGCCGGAATATATTGCAGTCTTCCGAACATCGTTTCCACTCAAACGACCTAACACCACATACACTACGATAAGTAAATGAAGAGAGGTAGATGACTTACTTAGCGTTTGAGATACACTATCTAATAGACCAAAATTGATGAAACATGCGATCAGTAGGAATGCATGATATCGTTCAGTGAAAGCATCAATACGCTTAGGATCTGGTTTCGGATTTACATTTCCAAAGGTATTGAAGATAGTGATATGAGCTACTAAGAAAGTAGATCCTGTAATCAAGGCAGTCACATAAATTCCTGCCATGGTTGTAGAAGCTTTCTTGAACAACTGCAATATAGCTAAGGAACCTGGGATCCGAACTCCGGAGTAGATTGCCGTATTCAAGCTTCTTGATCTTACATTAAAATATTGAGCATTCAGTCCATTAAACAGGAAAGCATAGTGACTATTGGGTGACAGGAACATGGGTAGCATCAATGCAAGAATTGGCCACTCGTCTGCAACAGCTTCGGCTATCGTTAAAGGTTTGTCATGTCCTGATGTGGTAGCTTCACCTACTATCGTACCATCACTGCGCTTGATCTTAGATAATGGCTTCAGCAATATGGCAGCACCTCCTGTACACAGCATCATCACCGATAAAATAACTAGATAGCTAACTAAGGACAGTCCTGATGCATTGCTCGGTCTTTGTATCATACCACAACAACCCAGAGCAAAGGATCCTAAGTTCAAGCAAGTCCATAGAAACAGAAAGGCTTGCTGACGGTTGACAGGATAAGCGAATGACATTACACCGAACACGGTCCACATCAATGAAGCGCCCAACCCAATCATGATCCCCGCCGGGTAAACCAAGTAACGATTCCAGTGACAGTAATTCACACCTATTATTGCCGCCACATACACCCCGTAACATAAGCCCGAGATGGTTACCGTAAGTCTTGGACCTAATGTATTGAACACACGACCTCCCAGCCACCCGCATACCGCCAATGTCAAATTGTAGATTGTCTGAATCTTAGTCGATGTCATATGGTCCGACTGGCCACCACCGCCTACAAAATATAATCTCCGAGACCGGGAATTGAACCCGGGTCTTCCGCGTGACAGGCGGAAATACTAGCCACTATACTATCTCGGACAAAGTCGAAGACGTGTTTGTATTTTTTACCAAGAGCATTGAGACCATTGAAGGAACCCACCACTCCCAGCATTGTAATGGTGAAGAACACGATCTGAAAACGGCTCTGGTACATCCTAAAAATAGGTTAATGAAAAATCGTTTAAAGCTGCTCCAGCAAGCCAGCGAGCTCGCGGGCTATCTGTTCGGCCACGTTTTGTTCCGCGTGCTCGCTGTAAATTCTGCAGGCATCTTCAGTTCCGGAAGCCCGAACGAAAGCCCTTGCACCGGGGTGGGCCTGGACTATGGCGTTAATCTTGTCTTGCAAGTCCTGCGGCTCCACCAAGTATAGCTCATGTTCGGGGTGTGATTTTAGGGTGTTGAGAACCGCACGGGGGAGGGGCACCTTGTTCTGGACGACTTTCAAGTCCTCGTATAGACTGAGCATATTATCAAAGTTGTAGTTGAGATAGCGGAGGGCGCCAATCGTGGCAAGTGCGTCAATAATGGCATCTCCGACGTACTCATCAATCAAGTCCAAGAAGTCCTTCAGAACCAGGAATGGTTGTTTGTCTGCTACTCCTAGCGCCTGTGCCCAGGCGGCGAGTGCGTCCGCGTTGTGGGTAACAGTGCCGTGGCCATTGGATTCGAAGTAGATGCCGATGTCGAACTGTACGGCTTTGTGGTGCACGTTTTTCACGCCGGTCTTGGTGATGGGCACCTGGAGCGTGACGGAACTGGGCAGCGGCAGGTTCATCAGGAACTGTGAGGACGCTGAGTTGGCGTAGCCGGTCTGCACGACAGCGAAGCTCAAGCGGCCCTTGGCGGGGTTCGGGCTGCTGGCTTCAACCTCCTTGAGCATTTTGAGCAGGGCTGTGCCGAGGACGGCGGCGATCCGGTCGCCATCAATCAAAGTTGCGAGAGGCTTCTCTTCGTCAGCAGCCGGCGGGATTGTGAAGAAGACTACGCGGTCAGCATCGCCGTCAACGGCGACGCACGCGGCACCGGGAGCGTCGCCCGCACTAGCGCCAAAGTTGGCTGGCAGCTTGCGGCTTTTCTGCACAAACTCGGCGCCGCAGTGATCGTTGAGAGCGAGGGTGGGGGTGGGTGCGGTGTTGCGCACTTCGAGCTGGCAATTCAGAGCCTCGAATGCCGGCCGAAGCCCTTCGAAGGCGCTGGCGCCGACGCCGCAAGCGGCGTCCGCGTAAAGGCGCAGTTCCTGCCCCTCGCCGACGAGTTTGGCGAACGCGCGCGCCTTCTCGGCCCAGAAGGTGTAGTAGGCCTCGTGGAGTTCCTCGGGTGTACGTTTTGCGGCGTTGACATCGTTGTGGCGCGTAGCGACGATCCAGTGCAACATAGGCGTAGTGGCCACTCCTACATTGACCACGGAGGCGCCAAGCGCTTTCACAGCGCAGGTGACCAGTTCAGTAAGTGTTGGCGAGGAAGGACGCGTGTCGCAAGCGACCACAACACGGCAGCGCTTGAACAAGTCTTCGCTCGCGGTCGAAAGTTCCACATGGCACGCTTCGCGCACCAGAGCCTCAAGCACAGCGAACGGCGTCCGAGAATTCACCAAGTCAGTCACATACTTCTCGAAAGCTGGTACCAACATGCCGCCATCTGGCTCCACAATCTTCACCCCATTATCCGAGGCTGGGTTGTGTGAGGCAGTCACGCACACACCCACTGGCAAACCTCCATGACACAATGACCGCACCACCGCCAACATCCCGCAACGCACCATCGCGTGGGGCAACTTGGACGCTTCACATCGGAAGCCTGCAGTGCCGTATGGCATTTCAGTGGCTCCGCTTGGCGCCAACTGCAGCGCCTTATTAATGGCAGAACAGAGAGTAGACATTCGGGAAAAAATATTAAGTCACCCCCGATGTGCCACTCCACCCGCAGTCCCCATCGCCCCGCGCTCACCAGACAATAGCCCACATTCGTTGCTGTGTTCTGCCTTCACAAACAGTGTCCACCATACCTGGCGGGCATAAGAATTTGCTATCCAACAAAGCAGTTGGGGGCAGTTAAAAAAAACTGATGTCATGGATACTATCTTGAATGCAATATGTCAGGCAGAAGCCTACGAACCTGAAGGGAGGGACGAATTGCCGGTTGTATGCATCAAAGCAAACGCGAGGGGACGACTCCGCACTGAATTGGAGGATATGTATTTGCAGGAGAACTTGCCATGCGGAATTCACCAATGTAGATTGTGTAATGCTGCTCTGGAGTCGTCCAATGGCAAGGTGGCAAATGACCGACGCCTTACAGCCGACCATTCCATTTGGCTGTTGGATTTGCCTGTTGCGCTGAATTGTGCAGACTTTTTGTGGGATGAGCCGGCCATTAACAATGGCGTAGTGATAGAGTCTCATTTGGAGTTAATACGTAGGTTGAATGTGCGTGTCTATCTGAAGCTCCTCAAGTTGTGCCGCATTGAACGAGACATGAGCAGAAGACGACGATTCTTCAAAGGCCAGAAGAACTTCGACGTGCAGGAAGTGCTGGGGGAAGACCGAGCATTTTATTTGTATCCTGACAGCGTGAGTGCTGATACCCATGTTGCAGCAATTGATGGAGAGACCAAAGAGGAGCACCTGTTGCGGTCCTTCGTCACAGTTGCCGAGTGGTACTGCCGCCATTTGGAACTAAATCGGGGCGACGTTGGTAGTGGTGGCGACGTAGGTCACGTGGAATTAGGCAAAGCCAAAATCTTGACTTCAAACAATGAACGAAGACAGAAACTAAATGACCTTCTTCACCTATCAGATCAGGTATCGGTAGTAACGATGCAGGAATTTATGCTCACCAGTCCCCTACAAGCCGAGTGGTCGAAGGCAGGAAATGTGAACGCAAAGATCGTATACGATGATGACGACGATGATGCAGCTAACGACGATACAATTCAGACAGCCAACAGACCGCTGTATCCTCCGTATTACGGGAGCAATTTAATAGCTAGTCTTATCCACACGAAGAAGGCGTTTAGAGGTACGTTGGTTACCGATCGAAAATCTTGTATGCAAGGTCGGGTTGTGATACGGAGCAAGTCCAACGCCGATACTGGAGTTAGCAACGTGGGCGAGAGTGGCATGGAGATCCAGATTGTGGGGGCGCTCAATATCAATCGCGCAATGAACAGGGACACAGTCATCGTGGAAATTCTTACACCTGATATGGGGGCAAACCTGCGCGCCGTTTATAGAGACTGGCACAAGCTGGAGGGAACAGAGTCGTTTTTTATTAGTGACTCTGCATCCTCGGATCATGTGTCCTCGGATCATGTGTCCTCGAATCATGTGTCCTCGAATCATGTGTCCTCGGATCATGTGTCCTCGGATCATGTGTCCTCGAATCATGTGTCCTCTGACCTTGCATCCTTTGGCGCAGCGAGATTCGATGTGAGTAGCAGAATGGTTGACAGCGTAATGGTGGATGACTCTGAAATAAGACCTGAAGTAGGGACTGATGTGGGGCCCGCTCATCCTGATATAGATTCGTCAGTAATATTTGGCAGAGTAGTTGCTATTTTACGGAGAAGTCCGGGGGCCTACTGCGGTACATTACGGTTGCGAAACAAAGTGTTGAATGACCGATACGAATTGTCTCACCGTGAGCTAGTGCCGGTGAATGCAGGACTGCCTCCGGTGATGGTTAAGTGGTCTGTAGGCTTGAGTGACCGAGAAGAGAGGCGTTTGGTATTCGTGTATGATGATTGGAAGCGTGATAGCCTGTTGCCTGAGGGGCACTGGATAGAGGATTTGGGTCCTGTGAATGATATCGATACCGAGTGCAAGGTAATACTCAGGGAGCATAATGTGATAACGAGGCCGTTTACGAGGGCTGCAATGGCCTGTCTACCCTCTGAGGATATCATTGAGACGGAAGTGAGTAGGCGAATTGACTTGAGACTAAAGTATTGCCCGTGTGATTTGTGTCGTGATACGCGTAATGGAGTGGAAGAAAAATTGTCAGCACAGGAAACCGATTTACTTGGTACGCCTTGCCTGTACACGATTGCTCCCAGTAGACCTGTGCCTTTAAGCAATTGGGCGGAAGAAAGGGACCAGAATTATGCTGTTGTTAGCCAGAAGCGATTGCAAAATCCACGCTTAGAGGAATGCGAGATAGACCCAAACAATGAGGGCGTGTGGACTTGCTCTATTGATCCGCCTACCTGTGTTGACATTGACGATGCATTAAGCGTCAAGTTTCTACCCAACGGAAACGTCGAGGTGGGGGTGCATATCGCGGATGTTACCCACTACGTTCGTGGAGACTCCGCACTCGACAAAGAGGCGGCGGAACGTTGCACTACCATTTACTTGGTTAACCAGCGGACGGACATGTTGCCGAAGCTTCTGTCTGCTGATTTGTGCTCGCTACGGTCGGGTCGCGACCGTCTATGTTTCTCAGTGTTTTGGGAAATGACGCCTGATGCAAAGATTGTACGGACCAAATTCTTCAAAACCGTGATTCATAGTGTAGCCGCATTTACCTACGAGCAAGCTCAAAAAATCATCGATGGCACGGGGGCAAGGACCGAGGCAACGAACGAAGCGGCGAACGAGACGGCGAACGAGACGACGCACGAGGCGAAGAAGAAACGAAAAAGGTCTGGTGTTCAAAAAATAGCAGAACGGCCTGTTGAGGGGCGACGAGAGGATCCTATAGCAGTCCGACTTCGAGTATTGGATCGGCTAGCCAAGGTGTTACGATCGAACAGAATGCAACGAGGTGGTCTTGAGCTGGCTAGTAATGAGTCGAAATTTACTTTTCGGAAACGGAAAAATGACAATGATGAGATTGTGAATGAAGAAGATCCGGAGAAGGTGGAGGCTTATGAGCATTACGACACTCATTGGCTAATCGAGGAGTTCATGCTTTTAGCTAACATATCGGTTGCTATCAAAATAGCACAATCGTTTCCGCAGTGTTCGGTTCTACGTAGGCATCCTGCGCCCAAGGGTGATTCATTGAAACAGTTGGCTGCTGTATTGAAAACAAAAGGTTTTCATCTTGAATTCAATTCCAGCAAGCATCTCGCCAAGTCTTTGGACTCATGTTCCATACCTGACGACCCGTTGTTCAACAAGTTGGTGAGACAAATAACGGTGCAATGTATGAACCGTGCTGTGTACTTTTGTACTGGTGATATCACAGATCCAGAGTCCAGACGGCATTACGCACTAGCTACCAATCTGTACACTCACTTCACGTCCCCTATTCGTCGATATGCTGACGTCATGGTACATCGGCTCCTCGCGGCTGCGATAAATTGGGAGAGTCTCACAACATCACAAGGTAATCAACTTATGGTCAGCCACCAGTGCGAGAAGATGAGCGAAAAGCATATGAACGCGCAATATTGTCAGCGTGCATCTGCCGAATATTTTGCTTACCGACTCTTTTCCAAAATAGGAAAGGAAGTCAAACTTCATTGCGTTGTCACCGGCATGAGAGCCAATGGACTAGTGCTTACTTGCCCTACCGTAGCCGTCGACTCCGTCTGTCCAATTCGAGAACCGTTCACTTATTGCCCAGACAAAAACGCCTGGGTCAATAAACACAATCTGACTGAGGAAATCAATCTATTCGACCATGTTATTGTCATAGCTAAGCCCAATGATGACGACTACAGGTTCCATGTTGTTTACGAACTAGAACGTAAAGCTACCACCCATGAGGTTCTGCAAACATCAACCGAGCTATCCAAAGCTATAACGTTCAAGGCACCTGACGTCGTTTGACACCTGACGTCGTTTGACACCTGACGGTGGTTTGACACCTGACGTCGTTTGACTTTTTTCCTTTTGAATAAATCATGGCGTCAGGATGCTGCAGCTCCAGCAACCGCCATCGAGATAGCAATTGGGACAAAGACGCTGAAGCTTTCCGTAGATAGCACAACCAGCACAGAAGACGTCTACGAAGACGTCTACCTAACTGTTATTCACATGAACGGTCACACCTTGTTTCGCACACCTTGTTTCGCACACATGTGTTCTTCGAAAATGTCTTCTTAGTAAATGATGTATTGAAGTCATTGAAAACGCGTGAAGCTGTGGAAGTAGGAACAAAGGCAGTGGAATATTTTCGAGGTATTGACTACATGAAACATATTAATGAGCATAAATCCGAAATCTTGAAAAGACATGAGTGCCTTTGCCTTCGTGTGGGCATTGATTTGAATGGTGAAGCGGTAGCTATAGCTAGCGCATTGGGGCAGTTGTTAGTGCAATCAGGTTTGATTGCGAAGACGGATCATGCGCCTTTACCGAATCTGGATCAGTCTCAAATTCCGGCTCATCTAAGAGATAACTCAAAATGGCCTCGGAGGGTGAAGATAGCTAGAGACCAGACGTTTACTCCGGATGGGTTTTATGCAATCAACTATGAGGCCCAGAATGCGTATTCTCTAGCGCTATTGGGAGGAACGATCGCGGTGGTCCTTATTTTCTGCATGTTTCCAATCTGGCCATTTGGCGCGAAGATTGCTACTTGGTACCTGACGGTGGTACTGCTGACTATTCTTCTTTTCTGTGTTGTAATACGTTTGGTGCTCTTTGTTGGTCTTTGGTTCTGTGGTCGAGACTTTTGGTTCCTTCCAAATCTGTTCGATGAAGACGCTGGAGTCATTGAATCTTTCCAGCCTTTGTACTCATACAAACAGCGCGATGACGACTGGCTTATGGTCGCCGTTCGGGCGTTTGCCGCGGTCCTCACGGCGGCTTCTTTCTACAAACTCAGCGAGACTCATTCACTAAGCGATGTCACGGAAGCTGGCGTAGGGGCCTTTATTGATATCCTCGAATGGGGACATACCAAACTAGGTGGAAATAGTACCGAGGTCACAACCAATGCGAATCTTGATGCCTTCCTCTCACCAGAAGAGCGACTGGCCCGCCACTGGGAAATTTGTGTTAAACATTGTGAATTTCAGGACACTGAAGAATTCATGGAGTTCTGTGTCAACGACTGCAATTGTCTCAACGAAATGTGGCAGAGCAGGTGCTGGAGAGCGTGCGAATACGATGTCCGTGATGAGCTAAAAGCTAACGTTAAATTGTGCAAGGAGGGCAGACATTCTTCGCAACTCAATCCCCCACCGACAGCCGAAAATAATGCTTCACCAGATAAAGGGGACGAGCAAGAGATGGCGGAGCAAGAGATGGCAGAGCAAGAGATGGCAGAGCAAGAGATGGCAGAGCAAGAGATGGCGCCGGTCAATAATATTGATATGGGTAACAATGAGTTGTAGCTGTGGACAATGAGTTGTAGCTCAACGAATGAGTCATAGTGTTTCCTGACTCCAAGTTATTTTAAGCGGGGATGGGAGTTGTTTTCCAAGGGCAGATTTTCTGTACTGTGTGTTCCTCTGAGACTCTCGGCAATCATTCCATGCTGTATCAACAGTGCTGGTAGGTCTCCAAAATCGTTTTTTCAATCTTGTCCAGAAACCTACAGAGTACTGCTCCCACCGTCCGTTATTACATATATAGATGCCTGTACCTTCTGCCACCAGTTTGTTAAGTGTCAATGTCATCTCCTCGTAGTAGTAGCCCAGAAATGGTAAGATATAGTGGTCGGCGGTCTCAATACCTGCCGGGTTTATACACACGGCAGCTCCATTGAACCCTGCAGCCCTTTCTATCATGGACGGAGTTGCAGATTCCCACAGCCTTTCCAAAGTGCAGTAATAGTCATTTTGGTCGGCCTTTGACAGGAGCTGTCCCACCCACTCATCTCGATACTTATAGCCTGTCACGGACTTTAGAGGAACCGAACGTTCGGGTAATGTTTTATAACTGCGCCAGTTTGCACCATCACGATCGAAGAGTGATCCATGATCGCCAGCTGTAATGGAACGCTCTAATGACTTCAAGGCCGTGTCTTGAGCCGTATGATTTGGAAGGAAGATCTCCAGGGAAAATACAAGGTTGAGATTGAAAACTTGGGTCAATAAATTGTCATCCATGTTAGTGCGTAGCTTGCACGTGTATGGAACCACAGCTACGATTCCACCCGTTGAGAGATACACTGGATCCACACCAGTGTTGGTTACAGCGTTCTGAACCATGTGGCATAATGTCTTCACGAATCCCGCCATGTCCGGCAAATCCTGACCGATTCCGTGGTGGCTGACCAATACGCTTTTGGCTTCTGCTCGGATCGGGAAGGGCATCTTGCGACCCGTCATCTTCTGAATGTCCTGATCCGGTGGGAAGCAATGGACCGTTGTGCGGCCACCGAGTATGGCCATTGTATCTGAGACTAACCCAGACGCGGGCAAAGGAACTTTTTTTCGACGTCGGTATTTCATTGCTGGGTCTTCTCCATTGACGGGTTTCGGTAAGTAACGTACCCATTCCCCACCAGAATAGAAAGAGGAAATCATCATCTCCACGGGGCCCTTGAGACCATTGATTCTACTGATCCATGTTGGCCGTGGCTCAGGTACAAAAGATTCGCGATAAGGAGGTTCCAACAAAGCGGGATTCTTCCTTACTGCCTTTGCCAATTGTACCGCACGCTTTTTTGCCAGCTCATCCTTAGTAACCGTAACAGGATCCGGGTGCATAGTCGAGGATGGTGATAGCTTCGCGAGTTGATGCTCCCTCGACCTAACCAGATATTCGTTAGCCAGGTCTACCCCTTGGCTTGAAAGTTGGCGCATGAGCTCCCTGGCAATGAGCAGCCGATTTCTCAAAACCACTCCTGCATCCAAAGTTGGCACACAACGGTCCGATACGTCCACTAGTCTAACCCCATTGTTTTTGGAGCCCTCGAGTTCTCTTGTTCCGCGGCCAACCAACTTAGGCCATTCAAATCCATGCTCCAACGCGCGGCAACCAAGAACCGCAAGAGTCGTTACGCGCATCGCACCCCATCTAATCGATTCTCATTTGGTTCCGAATGGCGTGAGTTAGCTGACTGATTGGGTCACCATCATTGAACGCTTCCAACCCGTAATGCTCAGCGGAATTACCTATGGTATCGGTAGATTTTATTATTGCCAAGTCGCCATTTGCAGGAGACCAATTGTCGAATGCGCCGCTCAGAGGCGGTCCGAAAGACTGGCCAAGCTTGTCCGTTAACTGTGATAGTAGCGTGCCGGACAAATCCAGCATCGGGCCGGCTTCACCAATTAGTCTCGCCCGTACAGTCTGAAGTCTCCCCAGCTGATTTCTTAGTATCGCAACATTTTGTCGCAACATGTCTTGCCGACTCTGTAATGCTGAAATCCGCTCTTCCAGGTCCCGACCCGCTGTATCGTCACCTAGTTTAGCTAGCTCGAAGGATACTAAAGGCGGTTGAGTGTCTCTTTGATATTCTCCAGACTCAGATGATGAACGAATCGACGTCAACTCATTAATAATCAGACCATTTATTTGATGCGGAACGATAACTTCTGGACCGATCATTTTGGGAAATAAACCGGCAAATTCAACAGCACCGGCTTCTCCGCCTGATATCGCATTGGTACCCAACTCCGGCACAGCAGCTGTGACATCCGGTAAAGGTCCCGTAACTATTGTTTGACTGCTTAAAGCTGATTTAACCGATGTCAATAAGTGATTCAACATAGTGCTAAAACCGTTTCCAATAGACTGGATCGCAGTAGACTTCATTTGGACAAACTGGGGTCCATCCACTGGCGGGTAACGGGCGTCAGAAGGATTCCAATCGGCATGATTCAGAGCACAGCGAACCACATCAAGCAAGTCCGTTACAGCCACCGGGAATGATGCGACTTTGCAGACGGAACATATTCCGTCGATATCAACCGCAGATCCGGCCAGCTTATATGATGCATATTCCAACGCTTCCTGACATGTGTCCCAAACAGCTTGTTCTGGCTATACCTTTGATATCAAATTCAATCAACAAATTACCTCAACACTACCACCCATTATCCCCAAAGCAATCAACGCCACTGACGGACTCAGCGTTCGCGCCACAAATGAGATAAAACGACTGTTATCCAACTCCATAAAACGCGCGCACGCGTGCTTTTTGGACGGGGGTTTAATTAATAATTTTTATATGGGTATTCGTGCGGTAATAAGCGATTTCGATGGCACTATTCTAGCGCCACAAGGAATACCCTCATCGTTTTGGAGTGCCAAGAAAACCTTGGAAAATGCCGGTATACCGGTGTACGTTGCAACCGGAAGGCCGGTGGAGTCATTAATTTCGACTTTGAGTGCTTATAGTGGCGACTTGAAGCCGTATCCCGGGGTTTTCTGTGACGGTTCTGTACTGAAAGATCGTGATAACCAGTCGATTTTGCGTACGCACTTCTTACCCTGTCACCTCACGTGCCGCGCTTTTCCTCCAGTCCATCCTTTTCACCTCCATAGCTCTTTTCAGTTTCAACTTTCGACCTCGAAGTATGCAGTGTAATATATGAGTATTTGCGATTGCTCAAGAAAGCGGGAATAAGAATCAATATTGGAATTCAAGGCCTGTCTCAATTCTATTCAGATACCACGGATTTGGACATTGGTCGTCGTGAGCAGCTTGTCTATAACAGTTTGACGGTAGTAGATTCTGTGGATGAGATACGCAAACGATATAATGATCAAATCCTGGCGTTCGCAATTTCCTCCGATTCAGCTGATGCTCTTGTTTGTGTTCAGCAATTGGTTCGAACTGCATTTCCACGGTGCCCGGCATTTGTAGGAGGAACGTCCAATGTGTTGATACTATCAAACGGATGTACTAAAGCCCAAGGTGTGCGCGCACTCTGTAATTTGCTCAAATACAAAGAAGCGGAGGTTCTAGTGATTGGCGACGGAGACAATGACCTTGAGATGCTCGCTCAATTTCCTCATTCGATAGCCATGGGTAACGCTTCCCCAGAAGTCAGAAAGGCTGCCAAGGTGGTGGCCCCCAACGTAGACGACGATGGCTGGGCCCTCAGTGTCCTGCAGTACATTGCGGCTGCAGATGAAAGGACAACTGTAGCCTCCTCGTCAGTTTCGGATGACGAACCAACCGTCACTATCTGAACAGGCACCATTTTAACGGCCCAATCTGAACTGACAGCGTTGCACAATGTTTTTTGCCAACGTTCTTGTGCTACAACACACACTTGTGCTATAACACACACTTGTGCCAATACATTTGTGCCAATACATTTGTGCCATCAAAATGGGTTGTACTCGACACACATTCGCCTAACTTGGTCATAGCCAAACTTGGAGTCAAACTCGGTATCCCGACTGGGTATCCCGACTGGGTATCCCGACTGGGTATCCCGACTGGGTAGTCCGATTCATATGGGATTGTAATTACAGCGAATACCGCGTTCGGTCATACATCCTCGTACTGCCCTCGGTACACGCGTATGGCCTAACTCTCGCTGGCTTTTTTCCCACGTTCCAGGTTGCGTGGCATGCAAGACCAAGTATTGGGGCCCATCGGTTTGCCGGTCAGTGCATAACTGGTTCTCTTTCTCCTGGGTATCACGAAGCACTCGACGCTGTAAGTGTTTTAACACCCCTGTAAATTGTCCGGGCAGAGTACCGGATGCCTGTGTCGGGATCTGGGTTGCCGTTGATCTGTACGCGCTGCTTCGCGACTGCGGAATCAAGCGTTGTTCACGAAGAATCGCTGCAACATCTTGGCGGACAGTCATTTTGCGCTTTTGCATTTCCCACTAAAGGATACACACACGTGATTGCACACACGTGATTGCACACACGTGATTACACACTAGCTCTATGCCCGATGTCTTACCTCTTTTAGCCTCGACATGGAGAAACTGTCGAAATTTTGGACATCTTCCGCGCCCGTTGTTTTCGGAACAATGGGTGCTTTCTGAAAGAGGAAGAGTACAGGGAAGAGAAAGGGAGGACATACTTTGTTCCGTAAAGTCCTGATTTCTACCCCGCGTAGCCAAGGGTGCGCGAGAAGCTCCTCCACAGTTTGATATCGGTCCTCGTTCTCCGCGATTAAGCTAATACGCGTAACGATGATGGACAGAACCCCGTGGGAAGGAACCCCGTGGCAAGGAACCCCGTGGCAAGGAACCCCGTGGGAGAAGTATTCTTCTTACTGGAGCATAAAGTCTTTTGCTTCATCTGACACCCTTGGGTGGCCCGGCCAGGACGTCATATATTCCTTCCAGCTGAGGATGGAAGGATAATGACAAGGGATAAGGGCAAAGGACAAGGGCAAAGGACAAGGGCAAACAACCGGAAGGTGCAAAGCGTGTTACTGTCTAATAAGTCGAGCAGTCTGCTCAGGTCTGTGGTGTCGATCTGACAAAGGAGGTCCTCCATATAGCATTTCGTACATAATTATTCCTAACTAAACACAAGTATGTGGCTGAACAGTGCGTCTTACGGACCACCAGTCAACCGTTCGGGTATGGGTATGTTCCGCTCGATGAACCTCTGGGGCCATATAATCTGGCGTGCCAACAGCAGAACGGAACCTCTCCGTCATCGCTCGTCTCATTGTATGGGGGTCTTGAGGGGGTAGTGCTCTAGACAAACCAAAGTCAAGCAACTTTACGTTCCCATTAACATCAAATAGTATATTGTCCGGTTTTAGATCACGATGGGCATATCCTAGGGTCTCATGTAGGTAGCCTACAGCTACAGCTAGCTGGGCAATGTAGTATTTGGTAACATCCTCTGGGAATATTTCGAAATCCATTAAATGCTTCATTAAGTCGCCACCCGGCAAATACTCCATAAGGAAATATATGAAGTGCGCATCATGCCAAGCACCGTAAAAGTCTGGAAAATACTCACGTCCATATAACATCACCTGCCGAGCTATGTCTCCCGTAGGTAGAACCTTTCTATCGCACAGTCGACTATGTAAAATCTCCGCTTCGGTCACCGCCATTCGCAGTTGACTGGGATGCTGGAAGTCGCATTTCGCAATCTGCTTCAACGCAAACACTCTTCCGGTTACCTTATGCTTGACAACTCTCACAATTGCGTACCCACCTTGTCCGATCATAGCCACTGTACTAAAACTCTTGATTGATGACTGTAGTGACGATGACTGCACCGACGATGGATTCCTGCACCAGCACCAACATCAAATGGGTAACAACATTAAGGTGACGGCATGAGTACCGAGGAGTATGGGGAGACAATCGTGCGAGAGACGATGTCGGGAAGGATCATTACACTGTCAACATTATTACAGCATTACACGTTCGAAAAAAGGTAACCAATCAACGCAGGAAAAAATGTTCAAGTCAGCGCTAACGCCTCCTGGTATCGGAGAAGGTGTAGCCCCGAACCAGGCTACCGCGATTACGCAGTAATTCAACACAAATTCGTAAACAACGATGCAAGTCAATGACTTGCTATACGCTGTTAAACGTATAAGAACTTTTAAAATCGAAAAGATCTTAGCACAAAGGCTAGAAGCTGATTTTAGTAGCAGAAATCAGCCGGGGGTAAACCTTTAAATTCGCCATTGTGGGCGGCTAATATCACCTGATATCGCCCCAACAAAACCCTAGGCGCAGATGATATTCTACAAGGTATTAATGAGGAACAATTCTTCGTGCTGTGTATATGAGGAGCGAAGGTGACCTCCGATGACCCTGACCAACTGAGTGACCAAACACTCCTATCGTACTGAGATAGTAACTGAGATAATCTATGCGGAGGTTTGTATGGACCGCATAT